CGTCCCACATGGGATTCGGTACTTCCCCCCCCCCCCAATGAAAAAAAAAACTCACCAAACATTGAAAAATCCATAAAATCTTCATTTGACTATTTTCTTCCATTTTTAATTTTATGGGAACATGTTTACTGAACCAAACCCACAGCTTCAATTCGAAAATGTAAGCATAATCTTTGGAATGAGAGCAAAGGTATGGATGAAGATGAAATTTCAAATATGCAACGAAATTTCGACTGCAACATTAAAAAAAAAAAATTCAAAACCTATCTAGGTTTTAATGATATGGAATCAAGCAAAAAATGGGTGTTTGGGCAATTTGGCAACAAAGGGACTGCTCTTTCACCTTTTATATACTCTATTTGACTGTCAGTTTAAAATTCTTGAATGATCTGCACATTTTAGTCTGCGTACTTGTATGGTTTTAGTTTCGATTTTCGGGGTTGCCCAGCAATGCTGCATAAGAGCATGACGAAGCCAAAGGGATCTCGGGATTGTTTTTTTTTTCGGAGTCATCTGTTTCATTCGTTCTTAGATGAGTTTTAGCGCACTTCTTGAGACGCGATTGCGGCGAGAAAGTGTTGAGCACGCGACTGAAGTGCAGAACCGACCTTGTTATTAATGACGTCTATGCATAACATCCCTGGGGTCGAGGAAGGATAATGAAAACTGACCTTCCGAGAAGTGCGTAGAAGTGGACGACCCGTGACGCAATGACCCAAGTATGTGAGAACGATTGAAAATCGATGCGCAGTCTTTACGACGGGTTAATGCCACCCATCGAGGCTCATGGTCCAATTACGCAACCCCGGTCTTTTCAATCCCGAGATGTTTTCTCCTTGCCTTCAGAGACTTGGAATGCAAATCATGCCGAAAATTCTGGCTGGATCCTGGCCATTGCGTTAAGCCAGAGTTTCTCAACCTTCTTTTTTTCACTAGCGGAAATCTTTTGGGAATGAAATTGAATTTTTTTTTGCGAAACCAGGGAGAGAAATAATTTTCGGGGCGTGCTTTTTGCATTCAGATAAAATCGTAGCAGTATTCTTCCACCTTTTCTTTCGTTTTGGGTCCCATAGTGTAAGCCCGTGACCTCTCTTTCCATACGCGAATGTCAATTGATGCGATTTTCTCCAACTTATTTCTGTAGATTTTTCCGTGGATTTTCTGCATAGTCAATTCACCGAAGAGATCAACGAGTATTGCGATTTCAGGCTTCCATATTCTGAGGTTCATATTTGAAAAAAGGTCGTTAAGATTTTTTCTCCTTGCCTCGTGAGAATAAGAATGCAAATCCTGGCTGCTGAAAATTCTGGCTTGATCGTAGACGTTGCGTTATCCCATAGTTTCTCAACCTTTTTTTCAGTCTAGTGAAAATATTTTGGGAGTGAATTTTTTTTATAGCGGAGCCCGGGAGAGAAATCATTTTTTGTTTGACTCTTCAGATAAAGTCGTAAAAGTATTCTTACACCTTTTCTTACGCTGTGGGTCTCATGCTGTAAGCCCTTGACCTATCTTTCCATGCCAACTAATGTGCTTTTCTCCAACTTGATTCTGTTGATTTTTCCATGGATTTTCGGAATAGTCGATCCACCGATGAGATCAACGAACATTGTGATTTCAGGATCCATATTCTGGGGTTGATCCTGGAAAAAAGTTATCTGTAGGGATGCAGAACTGCTTCTGAACCCATGAAACCCATCGTCCGTTCGGTTGCGCAACAGGTTTATTTTTCTTTCCCCCGCCTTGTCCATCTCCCCCCGGCTTTAATGATCTGGTTTGGGTGAACGATCTCATTTACATGTCCTGGGCCACAAGTGAGTAAGAGGTGGGTCATTTCAGGTCACGCATAGAAGCGCTGTGTCAGCTATTGTATCGGCCCTTGCCGTAAAAGGCTGTGCTTGACCAACGAGCTTCAATATCAGTCCTTGAGCTAGTTTTTACTATCATAACATGCCCACTTTTTCCCGTCTCACATTTTCCTTGTAATTGGGTATTTCGGGGAGGAGTGATCTTCGAATGGCCTCCGGGAATCCTTTACGTCGCTTTGAAATATGCAGCTTGGTTCGAAAAAATCTCTTGACAAGGTCCCGAACACGAATCTGTCGGCAAAAAATCGAGAGAAAATCCGAATACATTTGGCAGTTGAAAACCAGAATTTTTAAGGGTTCTGAAAAAATGCTTCAGTGCCTTCAACTTCAAGAACAGGCTCCCACATTTTTTTCCCCAGAGATATAGCGTTAAAATTCCCTCTTTAAGAGCTGTAACTTGGAAGAAAGCAATGTGGTGTTTTCAACTTAGGAAAAAGTTTTTAAATTTCATTTTCCCGAGATAGTGCGTTAAAATGCATCGGTCTTCGAAAGATTTCGAGTTGCTCAATCATCACACGTGAATAATCTGACGAATCTTTGGTTTTTTTTAAACCTGGAGTGCGTTTCACGAACACGTTACTCACCTGGCCTGAAAAGGCGATGTTCAGGAAAATAAATAAAAAGTAAGCTGAACCCTTGCGCGAGTGGGTTCCGTAATGTTCATACACCGGAACTCTTCGGTGCCTTTAAAAGGTTCGGGATGACCGGGGGCGTGAAAAAGCTCAGCGGAAGACGGGCTGGCGCCGGCGCAATTGCGCGTCTCGCGGGGTCACGTTGAATCGGTCGCCCGAGGGCGCCGCGAGACTGGGTCACACTGTAAAGAGAGGGAGAGAGAGAGAGAACGATCCCGCGGGCGGCGAACATTCGAGAACCCCGAATCCCGCGCTGGTGCGGGTTCCCACGTGCCGCGCTGTTTTCCGGTCTTGAGTGGGTCACACACCGCACGTGCGGATGCCCTTCCATTCACCCGATTTGCAGAAACGCCGCTTGAATGAATGGAGACTTTTCCGCATTTTAACTCCTTTTTTTTGCAGTCCCGACTTTTTTGCTTTTGCATGAACAGAGTGACGTTCCGAGAGTGAGTTAGCTCGCATTTCCGGTGTCACTTAAACACCGTGACAAAATGCCCGTCCATGAAATCCCCTTCGAGAATAATGCCGAGAGGAGAAAAGGTCAGCTAGAAAAATTGCACAATTACAATGGCACATGAGAACTATCAGCAAAATAAGTCAAGAACATTTAAAAATTAGGAATTATAATACCGCATCTGCCACGTGAAGAAAATTTGTTCATGGTTTTTCCGTAGAAATCTGTCATTAAAAGGCCTCCTTATAAAAAATTAGACGAATAGAATATCTGCCTAGGTTTCATCTTGCAGTTTTTTTCCTGAGGGAGCATGAGCTAGAAAATTCGAATATTTCTTTCACAGAATTAATAACACATCTTAATACCACACAGAATAATGCCGAGAGGAGAAAAGGTCAGCTAGCAAAGTTGCACAATTACAATGGCACATGAGAACCATCAGCAAAATAAGTCAAGAACATTTAAAAATTAGGAATTATAATACCGCATCTGCCACGTGAAGAAAATTTGTTCATGGTTTTTCCATATAAATCTGTCATGAAAAGGCCTCCTTATAAAAAATTAGACGCATAGAATATCTGCCTAGGTTTCATCTTGCAGTTTTTTTCCTGAGCTATAAAATTCGAATTTTTCTTTCACAGAATTGCCAGAATTCGTCGGACCTTTGCCTGGCGCTGTGACCTTTTTTTTTTTACTCTATTACAAATTCTTGCATAGATATCCCCAGTCGGATCACATAGAAGGTCAATTTTGAATGTCCTTCCGTAAAAACAATGGTTGCTGACAATGGCTATCGTATTTGGAAGGCGTTTCGTGTAAATAAATTGTGCTAGAGCGCATTTTAGAAATCGGTCGCTTTTTCGCTTTTATTGGGGAATACGCGGCGGATACTCTGTGAAACTAGTCTAGAAAATAGAATACAGATGACAAACAAATTATTTATACAGAGGAGATTTGTGTACAGAAGCTGGATATTCAATGATTGAAGGTCGGCTTGGAGAGGTTGGGAATAATCCTCACACTTGTATAAGTTCGTAACCCACCTGGTTTTGTTTGATCCACCTCCGCTCTCGCTTCTGCTTCAATGACAGTCGTCGTCGCATGAATGTTTTCTCGCGGTCATTGTGCTCCTCATTGTTGAAGCACTGAATGGGGTGACAGAAAATGAAAACAAAAAACCCGGGGTTCCGTGAGCCATTGATTCACTGAAGCAATGTACAGTATCCGAGTAACCCTGAGGGCGGCTGGGAAACTCGTGTGAAACTCACGACCGGAATTTATTTTTCCAATCTGATGATCTGAATTGCTCCCCTTACTTACATGTTCGATGTTTTCCAGATTATCCCAAATCTGGAGCGAGATGTTTTGATTTGTTCGAGCGTTTTTTTTTGTCTTCTTTTTGCGTTTATGAAACAGTGTTCCAGAGAGCGATTGGATTTACTGAATGTCACACCGGGTTCCTCATTTACAATTCTTTTTTCAAACGAAATTCTCATCGACATTTTTCTGTTCCTTTCGAGTAATTTGCCGCGAAAATGGCTGGAAATATCCCTCTTATCGCCAAAATGGTTTTACAAATGTATTTGGCTGCTGAAGAGTTTTTCGTCACTTTTATGCCCTATCTGAAAAAAAATCCCATCTAGTTCCGGGCAATTGCTCTCGATTTCGAGTGAAAACGGTTTTGAAATTCCCGGTTTTCTCCCGAAATTTTCAATTTTATTTTTTACCGATGAACTCGTCGACAGACGTCATTGTCAATCGTAACGGCGTCGTAACATCTGCGAATTCTGACGAACGATCGGCGCATTATTTTCGCATTTCGTATAATATTTGGGTCATTGACTGTAGGGTAATGATGTGATTTTATCACAAAAGATGAACACCTGATGTTTGCGGTACCCGAACTCTTCTGATTAGCTTTGTTCTGTCAACGATTTCATCGTCCAAAGAAACCGGTTTGTCGCTTGCTCAAGTAAAACTTCCAAGAAACTAACTGAACCGAAGTTTTATCTGTTTGTCTAAGATGTATCCGCTTCTGCCTTCAGAAAAATGATCAGGTAGGTGATTTCCTCGTGATTTTTGGTACGAAAACTGAGTGACCGATTAGGTATTACAGTATTATGTGTACCTCTTCCCGAAGAATATTTTGAATGTCATTTACTTATTTTCTAGCAATAGCGAAAATTAATCTGTTGAAGGTACAGATGAAAAATTCAGGTACAGTAATTAATGGGGGGGGGGGGGATTCCCCAAAGAATGTACCGTAATCCTAGGACAAATTTCGATTTATTACTGTACTTCGGTTCGGATGATTTGGATGATTTAATGTGGGAAACGTCTTTTGTACCTTGTGAACGCTGATTAGCGGCAAATAAAGCTCGTCTATCTATATATTTTCTGTACTTGACTTCACTTATTTACCATGCATTCGTGTATGTATTCAAGCTCTGAACCACCTTGAAATTCGCAACGATCACGGAATTTCGTGGAAATAGCAAAAAAATGTAATTCACGGGATTTTATTCGAAACGCTCATCTTTCGTCGTGAAACGAAAAGTCAACTTTTCCTCCATTGTTCGTATTATTCCGAGCGAATTTAGATCGGCTCGATAATCGATTAATTCTCTCATTTCTGGTCGTCTATTTAAACTCCGTTAATATTGCCGGTTCGCTGATTTCCCAGATTTATTTGTTTTCGTTTTTCAGGAACGTCTCTGTTGAGGGACCGTCTTTCACTGAAAAGGCGACAGACTTTTTGTTCGACCCGAACATGTCGGACGTAGCTGCGTCGGCGATCGGACCCGAATTCGAGATTTCCTACAGAAATGGGCGCCTATTTGCGGTCGTCAACGAAAGCGTCACTGAGGAAGGTGCGGATTCCTCATTTTCTTTTCATTGCATGCTTCCAGATGCTCTGTTCTCGAAATTTTCGAAAAGGTCTAACCGGATCAATTTATATGTTTCGCAGATCCGTTCGGAGCTTTCTCGCACGCTCACAACACCCACATCGACAAAGCAGGTCAGTCATGAATTGTTTGCTGCGATTGGTTTTGAATGCAGGGTAAATTACTCAGGGAAAAAGGTCCACAGAGCAGCTTAGAGTTTTACAGCGTCAGACAAATAGTCACCCTGGAAGCTTCTATGAACAAGGCATCATTAAGCATGAAAGAATCTCGGGAGCTGTAATTTTTAAAATTATTTGTCGAGTCTCCAGGGTATTTTTCTGTGCATTTGTGGACGTGGGTCATTTCAGAACACGTTCAATGATTCTGGAATTAATGTTTTCCATTACAGCACTCGGACGCAAGGACCTGAATTTAATACATATTTTGTTTTCTATGCAGGGGAAAAAGAATTGAGATCATCTCTCCCGGCTTTCGGCGTGTTGGCTGCAATGGCTGCCACGGCGATCCTTATCCTGGTTCTTGCTGTGATTATCGGGTGAGAAAATAAAATTCCCACACAATTTTGTCATGTTTTCAGCAGATTATTCCAGCAGATGAAGGATTTTGAAAATTCTGTTTGATTTCGTATAGGAAATTGAAAAGAAAGTACCCGTCGTCAAGCGACGAAGCCGAAGGAAGCGATGGGCAGAAGACCGAACAGACCAAAGGCACGACCGTATCCAACATGAACTCAGCAACTACCGACACAATCAATAATAAAAACCCTGATGACGAAGCCAAAGTTGTGAGTTTTGTTTTATTCAAACCGTGCGTTACCTGAACTCTTAACTTAAATAAGTTACCTTTTTTTTTTACTTCACAGACGAGCCATTTCCCGACAGGAATGCCGAGTTTCTTGGACAGAGTGAACAAGAAATTCTTCCCCAGGCGCTCTGGGCAGCAGAATTCAGTCAACAGCATCAGCAGCATTCCTCCAGAACACCTGAGGGAAATCGTCGTCTTCTAAATCGTCTTCCTCAAACCTGCACATTTCCTCCCTTGTTGATTTCCCTTTCGAGAGAGACTTCATCTAATCGTAGGAAAGAATACCTGCCGAAAATTTCGCGTTATTTCTTTTTATTTTTCTTTTACCGTTTTGCTATCGTCTTCTTCCGAACTGGGAGTGCAAATGTGAGCGCCGCGGGACCGAAAAAAGAAAATGTTCGCTGCTCTGATGGGTTTTGGACCCAGTCGTCGCGATTTTGTTTCGTTTGAGTGTGATAGTGTAAATGCGATTAAGCCAATCCCTTGTTTTATCCCTGACCCATTCCAAAAAGTGCCCAGGTTTTGTGGAGTTTGCTGTGCAAAAAAGGAACGAAAATCCCGTCCCTCCTGCATCATCTCCGAAGGGTTTATTGGGGGTTGCTGGAAACGCCTTTTTGCGTGTTTTCATAGCTTTTAAAATTCCCCGAAGACCTGTTTATTGGAGTATTTACTTCAGTTTTCCCTGAAACATTTTGGTGATGGACAAAGTTCCTTTGTTGTGTTGCTTCATTTGCGTCGGTTTTCACATGACTGACCAGGAGACGAAAGAATTGCTGTGCCAATATTCTTTCTTCCTCCTAGGAGCCTGTTGAACATTGAAACTTTCCATAAAATCAACAGTTTGACCAGAATAACTTGCTGGCCATAGGGCCAGCGAAAGAACCTGGTACAAAGTTTAATTTCGTTCGACGTAAAAGAGTGACACGTTGCATTTCATTCCTGATATTTTTTTAAAAATTCATTACTGAGTGTCTGAAAAGCCGTTTTTACCGATCAGTGAGAATGTGTGATCCATTTGAGCAACGCGCTGATTTGGTCCAGGAAAACGCGGAGAACGAAGCGAAACGAATTTCATTTTGGTCCTAAGGAAGAGAATAATTTATGAAAATATTCGAAAGGATCTTTTCCTCGAAAAAAAAAAAATCGTCGCAGACCACATTTCCAAACATCGCTGCTTTCCATTATGTGTCCTTTGTGTACGTATTGTTCCAATTCCTGCGAGGGAAACCGGGCACTGTTATCCATGATATTTGTAAGCTTGTTCCAGTGAATTTGTTTGGTAGAAACCCAAGTTTTTCCCTGCTGTGCGTCTTTTATATTATTTTTTTATCTATTTTACTTTTTTGCAGAATGAAATGGTGACCGAGATGTGAACAAAACAACAAAAAGGAGTGACTCTGTGCCTTACAAAGTAAGACTTGTGGAGTGACTTGAAGGTGAAGGATGACGCTTGCGAGTTCTTTGTTTGCTTCATCAGTTGCATTTTTGGTAAGTCTGAATATGATTTGAACCGGAAAATTCAAAGACTGTCGGAATTAGTGATAATTGGCTGAGATTTCTTGCCAAACATTCATTTGATTTTACACAAGTTTTCAGTCAAACTTCAAATCCTTCTGACACGTTTTCCAGAAAAGATGGTACACGCAGAAAAACAATTTATTTGACCAATTTCTCTCACTTTTAGTGTGCCTCTAGGAAAAATTTCATACAACAAATATGCCCAGTCAAGATCAATGGAAATAATTTAAAACCGAAAGGCTGCAGGTCAATCAGCAGTATCCCTTCAAAACAATTGATGGAAATGGTCGTTATATTCTAACCGTCTTCCTAAACCCAACGCATTTCCTCACTGATTGATTTTACTTTAAAAAGTGAAACATTTTCTGACTGTTGGAATGAATAGCTATGCTTATTTTCTCCCTTATTTTTCTCTAATTTTTGTTTTGCTGATTTCTTTTTACAAACTGGGAGTGCGAATCTGAGCGCTATAGGATTGGAAAAGATTTTCATTTTTCAAGGAACTCAATTAGTTGCGATTTTGTTTCGTTTGCGTTTCATGGTATAAACGCGTTAAAGAAAATTCAATTTTTAATTTTTTGCCCCGTTCAAGAAAATGCTGATTTTTTGTGTAGTTGCTGTGCAAAAAAAAATCCCGTCCCAATTGCATCATCTCTAGAGGATTTATTTGGGGTTCCTCCTAACAAATTCCTTAATGAAAACTTTCCATAAAATCAACAGTCAACTGAAAAAAAAAAATTTCTGTCCCATAGAAAAGAACCTATGCTGCAGTGAGGTGTGACGCATTGAGATACAATACTTCTGATATCTGTGATACAAACAAGACCCTGTTGCTTATTATGACAGTTTCTCTGAATTAATCCCTTATAACCGAATTATATTTTAATTGCTGGCTACGTTATTCTGTTCCTATAATTTTTTTGTTGAAAAAATTGAATGATGTGCATAAGGTGCGTGATGAAACATTGAAAACGAGTGACATCTATAGATAAGAGGCGAATCTTTCTCACAGAAGATAAAGGAATTTCTCGCAGAGTCACTGCTATTCACTTGAACTCAAGTGAAAGAAACCGCATACAGTGGACAACGCATTAAACAAGTTCTCATGTACAGTACATGTTCTGAAAATTCCAAATGTCTCATAGAAATAAAGCCAGACGTAGCTTCAAGGTAAAAAATGCCCGTCTCTCCAGGACAGACAAAATAATTTTTGCGGCGGATTCAATCAACCAGAGCTTTCTAAAAGGATGTAAGAATAAAATCAGGACCACCGGAATTCGGTGGAAAATTCGGTGGAGTGTCCAATGCTCTCAGGTGTTCTTCATTGCACAAGGATTTTGTGCATATTGAATGATGACCTTCAGTGGCTCTCCTTTCGACTTTGTTCTTTCCATCGTGGAAGAATGCATGGTGCACTGTTTCTCACCAAGAACAATCAACAACCAGGCACAGCTCAGAGAGAAATGCGGCAGCTGAAAAAAAAAGAAATGAGTAAAAATAAGAACTGTATCGCGGTCGAAAATGTCACAGCATTGTTTGTGCTGCCTCCTTCAGTGACCGCCTGGAACCACTGGCCTTTTGTGAACATTTTTTTTCTTATCTTGTGCACAGAAACCCCTACATATGTTGCTGATTTCCCAAATGACCACCAAGGCCGTGAATCTGGTCAATAGTGCCTGATATTTTGGAGATGAAACCCGTCAGAGTCCTTTGGTTGTTGGTTGTGGAACTATCACGAATAAACTGAGTTTGAGAAATGAAATGGCTGTCGGTGAATTGAATGAAATGTTGAGTCTCACTTCTGATATCTCCTGGCGAGATATGCATCATGCTTTGTGGACCAGTTTCAGAGCCAGTCACCAAAGGAAGTAAAAAAGGAAGTGGGTCTCTGTTCCGGCGAACTTTTGGGGCGCAAAAGTCGCTTGTCTGGGTGAATGACTGGATTTCTCCCAAGTCCGGTTGCACTCCCAATTTCACTCACAGCTTGACGACGTCTTGCTAAAGGTGACTGACTCCCTGTGCTGGCGAGCAAGTTGAGAAATTCAGTGATTTTGTAACGCAATTCGCAGTCCGCTTTTGCAAAATTCGTAAATGGAGGGGAAGATTTCAATCAAGCTTTCGTGAACAAGTTCATTAAGAGAAATGTGTCAAATGACTGGTGCGTGTGCCTCTGAAGCATAAATTATCGATTAATATTCGCCAAAAATAAATGAAAAGTGAATAAAAGCCACGTGTGGAAGGAGTGAAATAAATTGAAGGTTGAAACTTTTTCCGCCTTGTGACAAAAAAATCAGCCCTGGGTTTTTCAACCGAGAGTGCGTGTGTATCAACCAAAAAGGTGTCACCAAAATGTCGAAACCCCTTTACAGTAGATATTCCTTTCTATGATTTGTCAGGGAGCTTCATCTGCAGGGAATTGACCAAGTGTTCAGTGAAGGATGACGCTTGCTAGTTCTTTGTTCGCTTCATCAGTTGCATTGTTGGTAAGTCTGAATATAATATGAGCATTGAAATTCAAATGACTGTATAGACTCCGCTGATATTTGGGTGGGATCTCATTTACAAGAGTCATGTGATTCTGCACATACCTCTGGAAAATATGGTGTAAACCGAACAAAAGTTCTAGACATATCTTGAATTTTCCTGTGCCTCTTTGAAACATTTATTCCCAAAAAATAATCCTAGTGAAGATCACTGGACATATTTTAAAACTGCAGGCTGCCTGAATTAAATGCAGAGAAGGATTCACTATGTGTTTTATCAGATCCACAGAAGTAAGAGTCTTTTTTCCTCCGCTCTATGCAAAAAATATGACCTGCACGAAAAATGACATTTTCTAGAGAAAGTTTGAGGGATTTTTATGCGCCTCTACTGTGAAGTTATCTTCGAATAAATCCTAGCCGCGTTGAATCAAATCGGAGAGAAGACTTGTTATAATTGTACATGCTTGTGTTTTCAAATGTGCGTATATTTTATCGCTGGTTTACATTTGTAAATAGATATTGCTTTTAGAAGCCCAATGATAATTCGAGAGAAGAATTTATGCACATGTGCAAATATCGATGGGTTTGGAACAGGCTAGAACCTATATTATTGCAGTTTTTGGCTTGTTTTAATTTTATGTTGTTTTGAAATGATAATGTTTGATTTTTACATCGCCTCAGTTGACGAGGGTGTGTTGCTGTATTTTCTGCAAAAGTTTCTTGGAGCTCGTTCTGTTTTCCAGCCCGAAATTATGTGCGATTCCTTCTCTAGGCACATGAGCCCAGTTTCCTCTGATAATTCTTCACTGGCGTTTCATGTTTCCATGCCAGGTCTTGCAGGAGCTGTTCTTGGAATCAGCAGCTACACCTGTTGACAAACGTCCAAAGCAGATGTCCTCAGGGCCCTTCATCATTTTTCCATCGCAAATGTTCTTCGTAGACCCCAGGATTCCGGTGCCGGCGATGCCAATTTTCGCTCAAATGCCGACAAATGTTTCTGTCATTCCTTCGGCAAGTGGACCACCAGCAAGTCCAGTAGTGGAAGTATCGACGAGAGAAATTGAAAAACCTTCGATGGATCCGCCTGCTGCACCAGTGTCCGACGAATTGCGCATTCCCACTTGCAAAAACATGATTGGCGACAGTATATGCCTTGACCTTGAAGAATACCCAGAGTAAAATTCCCCGTCCTTGTCATATTTTTTCGAAGTGTTAACTGAAATCTGGTTCTTTTCAGAGAGAAAATTATCACTGCCGTGCGGAACACGCTGAATGAGATTGACGCGGATTTGATCCTGACCACTGACAGTGGATCACAGGATTTTGCAAAAAATTCTCCCGATTATGACCTCGAACCTTTTGATTTCCGGAATAAGGGGCCTACTGCAAAAATCCCTCAGGAGGGAATCGGGCCCAGTGGAGGTGTTCGTGGAATCGCTGCCTGTAGATCTCAGGTTAGTTTAATTTCAGTTGGTCAAGTATCAAGAAATGTTGCTTCTTAGTGGGATAAACTGTGTTCTAATGTCTCATTTGAAGAGAACAAATTGATAGGTCTTATATGGGAAGTATCAATTAAATGCATTCTTCTGTGTTAAACATGTTACACTCTCCCTGCAACTTCTGTAAAGCTCAATTTCGCAGTTTCTTCTCCAAATGCAGAATCATCCGTATTAACTTGTTGTACTGTATCGCCATCTCTGGTATTTGCGGCAAATGTTGAGCATGGATTTTAATCAGTCAAATTTTTGCGTGGAAATGCTGATGATGATTCTATCTGATTACGAAAAAAATAGGAAGCATTCATCAGACCAAGGATGATGCGGAACGAGAACAACGCTTGGCGATACATCGTCAACGGGAAGCGATACTTGCAGGAGCTGCGAGTGGAAACCTGCGTGTAAATAATTTGCTTTGTCAATTTAATCTGTGCCAGATACTGATCTAGTTTTTGAAAATATTTTATAACCAGCTATGCGAACAATGACCCGTGCCAAAACTTCGGATTAGAGCCGTTCAGCGGACGACAGGGGGTTTGCAGGCAGAAATACATTTTGCGGAGGCTGTTGGCTGTGCCGATTCATGGAGGAGGAGGAAACGTTTTCAAAGAGTCTTTCCCGATACCGTCGTGTTGCGCTTGTTTTTTGGAGTGAGACAAAATTGTTATGCTGTTTTGTTGATGCGGTAATTTGACCGCTTTATTTATTGTACCAGTAAATTTTTTTAACTGTCGCATTTCGGAACAAATGATTCTCGCATGCTGCTTCGACGCGCAAGATGACGCGCATTGTTACTGTGTTGTTCTGTTGCGATATTTTCGATCGACAGGGAAATAAATATCGTTGTTCTCGTTTGATGATACACTTTAAATTCTTAATGCGTTTGTGTTTTGCTGATCCAAAAGTAAATTTAATTTCGTTTATTGCAGCCCTGGCACTTGGATCTAAAGCTACTGACAATATAGGTGCAATTTTTATTCGTCGAAAATGTAAATGGCTTTCTCAACGCAAGGAACACCAAATAGAAAACTTGGATGAAAATGTTGGCGTTGAAATGGCACAGATTGAAGTGAACAGATCAAAATCGGTGGAGGATTTGTAGCAACTCTTTGAATCTAAGGCCTGCTTTTATTGAAATACACTTTTCAGGAATACCTTAATACAATTTTTTGAAAGTGTCCCAGAGTAATATGACAGGTTCTACAAATCGAAACCGATTCATCTGAAGTTTGTCTATGAATATTTTTCCGGAGCTTTTACAATTGACCAGCAGTAAGTAGTTTGTGAACCCTTTGCATTTGTAACTTGTCGGATGTCGAAATAAAGAGCTTTCATTAAATTAAAATAGTTCTCAAGTTGTTATCGTCATCTGGAACTTAGGAGGGAATGTGAATCGTAAAATAGTGACATAAGGGGAATACGATTGCCTTCAATCGCCCAATTTTAGTTCAATTGTCAGTTAAAATGAATCTTTGGCAAAAAAGATGCATGAAGGAGGAACAACTCTTCAAATTTACGGAATTTTATATTTTCTTCGCTACAACGCACTAAACTTAATCACCTAAAGTTTGGGATTGTTTTGTGGAAGAATATTGAAAACTGACAAAAAAGCAAGCCAAACATTGGAAATTTCTCAAGGAATTTTCCTCCTCTCACTTCGTGACGAAGCTGGTGATGATACTTCCGAATTTCGATTGTCTGTATGTAGATGTCGCAGCTATGCGAAAGAAAAAGCTTCGAATCCATAGTACATCACCACCAAGTTCAGCATTCCACTGCATATTTTTCTTTGATGAAGGAAGAAAATAATTTTTGCAGGCAGTTTTCGAAAGAAGCACCGAGGATGGGGGTAATTTAGGAGCTTTAGTAAAAAACTAACGGAAGAGCTGCTGCATTTTTTCATTTGCAAATAGATTGATTGTGTGTGCATGGACTATAAAAACATGGGATAACCCAACTTGAAATAATCGGGAAAATGTCAAAAAGTATAAATTATATTTTTGGTGCAGAAAATTTGGCATTCGAGAGAGCATGATGTACAAATAAAAATGTACTGTGTTTAGCTTTAATTTAGAACTTAGAAATAGCTATTTTGTTGAAAGAATAATTTCAGGAACACACAGTTCTGAATGAAGAAATGCTGTTCTTGATAAACATTATTTTTTAGTTGTTTCAGCTCATACTTCACTAAGATTGATACATTTTTTTTTAATTATGAAGGGAAAGTTCTGAAATGAGAGAATTTTACAAGGTGTTTTACTTTCTGAATTTTCTGCATATTTCATCAAATTAATAATGAAGTTCAGGCAATTCTTCACATACATAAATCATTTATGGTAGCTATTACCTGTTACCCACAAAATGTCCGTCCCACATGCGCAAAGAACCATGAATCGCGTTATAGCGCATTTTTCGTTATAAAATATTTTTTCTCGGGTGCGTCCCTGATGGGAGTTCGTTGTAGCGATATTTTACTGCATGGTTTTCCGGAACTTCCGGAGTGTCGCCGGAAACCCGTCAGTTCATGGGAACTTTAAGATGAGCTTCTCAAAACGCGACTGAATAGGTGAATGGGAGGGGAAGAAAACTCCCTTTCTCCAGCAGCCGTCAATCAGGCGCGGAAGTGGCCGCAGTCAGTGTTTCGGAATCCCCAGGAGACTCCAGGCTGCCTGTTGCGGCAACCCGGAGCACATCATTCTCAGTGGGAATCCCGGGTGTAGCAAGTCCTCATTCATTTGCACAGCTATTTTTCATCAACAATCATTCCACCCTCTTCTGAATACCGTGATGCACCATCAAGGTAAAAAAAAGAAAAATGTCTCGTTTTTTCCTTGAGCCCGATTTGCTTTCAAACTTTCCCAGGCTTTTGACTCGCAGCATGACACCACGCTTCTCGAGTCATAACATTTGTCTCATTTACATTCTCCGGCCTGGAATGAGCAAATACAATTATGCGGGTACGCGATCGTTAGGGTGTGAGATTTGAAACCATTTGCCTTCCTAATTCATCGCGCAGGGAATTTACCGTCAGCTCTACTGACGCAACAAATATAGAAATACATTCTATGAAGAAGAAAATCTGCGTATTCTCCCATTTTTTGTGTGGCTAATTACAGTATCATAATTTCAAAAGCAGTACCCAAGGTTTTCTCAAGTAGAGCATAGAATAACAAGCTTATTAAAAAAGCGACATCATTGATTGTTGATACAGTTCAAGAAAGGAATAGCGCTTTAATAATTCGAGATGAAGCGGTGTTCGAGAGAAAAAAAATGAGGAATCATGAAAACCGAAAGAAAAATCCCGAAACGATGCGTGCTTTGATGCTCATAAAAAATCGAATGATTCCCTCACATTTTCGAACACCTTCGTGAAAAAATTTCAATTCGGAAAACCCTTGAATTTAATAAAATTAAAACTCCATTCATTTTATGACTCCCCTCTCCTTTTGTGCCTCAAGAATGGAAACAAGTTCCTTCTTCGAATATGCAATTTATCATGATATGATTCCATTCCAAATTTGCAGAATCGGGAGCAGATTCTGTTCCTTGAACCCATGCTTTTGTCAAATAGTTACACTTTCCCCTTCTTCTAGGAAGTCCAGATTACAAATCTCGAAACTTAGAATCGAAATTATTGTAGAAGGCTTCTTTCATGATTTGGTTCCTCAGAACAGTTCATGTACATTACTCTACCAGCAATTACAAGCCGTTATCAAATTGAAAATATCGAATATGAGAATCACCTTTTTTTTTACGATAAGTACGAAATACTGTACTGTATATCGAAGTGAGCGAATATGATAATGTAGTTTTTCACGCAACTTTGTTCCGATTCAGACTCTGCAAGTATAAATTTTCCTTAAATTTACTGGACGTGAGAAATTCACTTGAATGGAAAAATCGCTTTTTGTGACCCAGTAAGAAATTTTTGTTTGTTTGTTTTTATTGATTGACACGACATTCAACATATAAGACCACCATGATTCTTCTGCGCCATTTTTCGAAAATATTGTTCATATACTGTATTGAGTAAACGCATAATAAAGTAGAATCTCGTAACAACGAAGCGTTCGGGGCCTTAAAAAGGCTTCGTTATAAACAAAATTTCGTTCAATCGATATCAAAATGACATTGTGGCTATCGAATATGAACAATAAAAAAGTCGATGCGAGCATTAATTCGTTAAAATGAGATTCGTTGAAAAGAGATTCTACTGTATTGTTTTTCGTTTGGAGTCGCATTCATACGAGCGGTTTGAACGAATAAGGTGGGAATTCGGTGGCTCGAATTCTTGGTCTTTGTGCCTCAAGAATGGAAACAAGTTCCTTCTTCGAATATGCAATTTATCATGATATGATTCCATTCCAAATTTGCAGAATCGGGAGCAGATTCTGTTCCTTGAACCCATGCTTTTGTCAAATAGTTCCACTTTCCCCTTCTTCTAGGAAGTCCAGATTACAAATCTCGAAACCTAGAATCGAAATTATTGTAGAAGGCTTCTTTCATGATTTGGTTCCTCAGAACAGTTCATGTACATTACTCTACCAGCAATTACAAGCCGTTATCATATTGAAAAATATGGAATATGAGAATCACCTTTTTTTTACGATAAGCGCGAAATACTGTACATCGAAGTGAGCGAATATGATAATGTAGTTTTTCACGCAACTTTGCTCCGATTCAGACTCTGCAAGTATAAATTTTCCTTAAATTTACTGGACGTGAGAAATTCACTTGACTGGAAAAATCGCCTTTTGTGACCCTGTAAGAAATTATTGTTTTTCATTTTTATTGATTGGCACGACATTCAGTATAAGACCACCATGATTCTTCTGCGCCATTTTTCGAAAATATTGTTCATACACTGTATTGAGTAAACGCATAATAAAGTAGAATCTCGTAACAATAACGAAGCGTTCGGGGCCTTAAAAAGGCTTCGTTATAAAAAAAATTTCGTTCAATCGATATCAAAATGACATTGTGGCTGTCGAATATGAACAATAAAAAAGTCGATGCATCGTAATTAAGCAATTTTACTCTAAGCAACTTTTCTCTAAGATGACATAACAAAAAGCAAACCTCAGCGTAAGTATGCTCGCCAAACTTGCTTATTCCACCCTTAAGCCACCGAGCTTAAGAACCAGAATCATCATTTGTTGATGGCGAAAAAGACCAGAGCTTAGAAGGTAGGGATTAGCCCGAGTCTCAGGCCACACCGAAATGATGCGTTTTCCCTTCATCAGCAAAAGCTAATGCAGTTGCGTCACACCCACGCTTACGCATTTCCTTCCGCTAGCATTCACGCTCTGCTGCGGACGAAGGAAATCTGTGTCTATGTGTAGAAAAAATTATCTTTCCCATCGCAATTCTTATTTCCTTGCCGATTCTGCTTTCTGGCCTAAGCGATCCATCTGGGTAAGCGTGGGACTTTTTGTTCCTTGATGAATATCCCCGCCGGGATTCAGGAGAGCCAGTTAGTTAAGTGAAAGAGAACGCAGTACGCGCTCAACCCAACCCAATCCGGTCCAGTCGGACCCGTCCCGTTCAACTTAATGCTTGGGTGCGACTAAGACATTTATACGTAGGCAATATCGCGGTTTAGATTAAAAATACAATATCACGTGTTATATAGAAGCGAACGGCGACTTTGGCCTCAATGCGCAAGCTAATTTCGAATCAGCGAATATGAATCGAGAGCTAGATTAAATTAGTTTTACAGCTTATTACTAACTGCCTGTGGAATTTTTCCACGTGTTTATTTAAGCACGCTTTGAGAGCATCAAAGATTTGCAAGTATTGGATTGGCCTTACATGATTTCTCATCAAAGATTCTCTCCAAATTGTTCATCCAAATAAACCTTATCTGGGAACAGTCTGAAGAAATTGTGCTTTAAATTGGGTTCAGTAGCTGCTGCAATTGCTATA